GGTGGCGAGCCTGTAGCAGAAATCATCTGGCTCACCCAAATCCCTGTAAGGCTTATCCTTGAACTCGGCAGCTCCGAAGTACGACCCCGGATTCTGCTCAACAATCGTTGGGATGTTGGAAGCCACGTTAGGCAAATCCTCCAGAAAACGTTTAGTGGTGTCCCGAAGGATCGTCACATCAACGGGGAGCAAGCAGGTTTCATCGGCCCATACCACAGGCTGACTATCACGCGCTAGAAGGACCCCACGGATTCCGACTGACTTGACGGTGGTGCTGAAAAGATCTCTGGCAATTCAGCTGGGAGACCCCATGACTCGCGAATTCACCGTCTCCGTAGAACAGTTCACCAAGATTCGCCCACGGAGGACTCCATCAGTGGCGGAGGTCCGTCGGTGCCTAGGACCAGGTGGCTGGAGGTTGATCCGTACGGTGGGCAACATTATGCCACGCCAATGTCTCTTTGGAGACCGGCATCGTCAGCATGAGACGGCGGAGCCCGGAGACGGATGGTTTTACGTTCTTGACACGGTTCCGTGAGGTGGTGAGGTTTGGGAGTCGGTTTTTGTGTGACACCCCCGTGGGCGGTGTTATAAAAATAAAGCCGGGTGGCGTGGATGGAGCAGCCTGTGTGGTCCGCTGATGTGGTCATTGAGAAGTTGGATGGTGAGAAGAGCAAGTTGGATGAGACCACGAAGAATTGTGTGCACGAGATTGTGCGTCCTGCGAGCTGGGAAGTAAAGGTGGTAGGTGAGTACGAGCCTGCACGCAAGTTTGCTTACCCCCTAGACCCGTTTCAGAAGACAGCCATCGACTGCATTGAGATGAATGAGTCGGTGTTGGTGGCGGCGCATACGTCTGCTGGTAAGACGACGGTTGCGGAGTACGCGATTGCGTTGGCACTGAAAAACAAAAGTCGCGTCATCTACACAGCACCCATTAAGGCTCTGAGTAACCAGAAGTTCCGGGATCTACAAGAACAGTTTCAGGACGTAGGATTGATGACGGGCGACGTCACATTGAACCCTAACGCCTCGGTCATCATCATGACTACGGAGATTCTACGTTCGATTTTATATCGAGGGTCAGAATTAGTGCGGGAAGTTAAATGGGTAATTTTCGACGAAATCCACTACATGCGGGATCGCGATCGTGGCGTCATTTGGGAGGAGACCATTGTACTACTACCCGACAGCGTACGGCAGGTTTTTCTATCCGCGACGGTGCCCAACACACTTGAGTTTGCTGAGTGGATTTGCCGCACAAAACACCAACCATGCCACGTTGTGAGCACCAGTTTCCGACCCACGCCCCTGCAACATTATCTCTTCCCGGCTGGCGGTGAAGGGCTCAGTTTGGTTATGAACGAGCACCGGCAGTATCAAGAAGACAACTACAGACACGTGCTGCAACAACTCTCGAACGATCGTGGTGCTAGTAGCTCACGGAACAAGAAAAGGCGCGTTGGTGGAGACGACCTGGAACGCATCCTGCTCATGTGCAACGAGAAGAACTTTACCCCCGTGATTGTCTTTGCCTTCAGCAAAAAGGAGGTCGAGGAGAACGCGAGCGTCATTTCTTCGCTCGACCTGACCACAGAACAAGAGAAACGAGACATTCAAAAGATCTACGACTCCGCCGTTTCCACCCTCAGCGAACAAGACAGAGACCTGCCGCAGGTGACTGGCATCCTGCCTCATCTCCTCAAGGGCATCGGCATCCACCACGGCGGCCTGTTGCCAATGGTGAAAGAAGTAATTGAGATTCTCTTCCAAGAACTCCTCATCAAGGTCCTTTTCTCCACGGAAACGTTCAGTATGGGTATCAACATGCCGGCGAGAACCGTGGTCTTTACCGGCCTTCACAAGTTCGATGGCCAAGAAAAGCGCATGATCAGTCCCGGCGAGTACATCCAAATGTCCGGACGCGCGGGACGTCGCGGCATCGATACCAAGGGGTACTCCATTGTTATCGTGCAGAGTCTGCCCGGCGGAGCGGACCAGGGCACTGCCAGCGGTGGGAGCGACGAGCTCCGACAACTCTTCACGGGCGAGGCCTTTCGGCTAGATTCGAACTTCTATATGAAGTATAATACCATCCTCAACCTATTCCGCGTTGAGGGCGCCAGTCCTGAGTACATGATCAAGCGTTCCTTCCTGCAATTCCAAACCAAGAGGAACACTATCACTCTCGAAGAGGACCTCCGGAAGATGCAGAACGAACTCGACGAAAATTCGATCGATGCTTTAATGCACAGGCTCTACCACTACCTCGGCAAGTCTGTTGCCTTATTGGATACAGCGTCATTGGATACAGCGTCATTGGATACAGCGTCGTTGGAAGTGTGTCGACGGCCGATTCCGGATTTATCTACTGCGGAGTTCGCGTCATTGTTGAAGTGCAGTTGCGCGGATTCAAGTGCCTGGCGTCAGTTGCTGCCCGAGAAGCTGAGGGAGGAAGATGACGACACCGTGGAATGTGCCGTGGTAGACTACACGGACTATTGCAATGCATGGCGGAAGCACCGGTTGGGTATAGCGGCAGCAATGCACGCGAGTTCGACAACTGTGTTGCAGTTTTTGACACGCGGTCGCGTGGTACGGATAGTGGAGCGACATGCGACGGACGCTCGGTTAGATCGGCAGTGGGGGTACGGTGCAGTGGTGAATATTACGACGAAAAGGGTTCCACATTCTCGTGAGCCGGAGCTATTTCTGGACGTGGTATTGCGGGTAGCGGATAGTGCCACACGTGGCAGCGTGATTACACTGAGCCAGATGCAGCCTCATCCGGCGGGTAACGTGGAACGCGTGATCCTTTACGGCGCGCCTAATCCCATAGATAAGACCAACCCGCATTTCGAAACCTTCCGAGTTCCGCTCAAGGCGGTCGCGGACATCACTAAACTACGCCTCAAACTCGACGAGTCCTCAGAAAAACAAAGTGAAGAGTTCCGTCTGCGCGTCGGCATGAAGCTCCTGGGCTTGTTATGTCGGCAGCCAGTCATTGACTGTCTGCACCCTGTCGACGAAATGGGCCTTGCCGTAAGCGATACGCTCGCCGCAGCCGTCAAGGAAATGGGCGAGTGCGAAAAGCAACTACGCCATGCCAGCTTTTACGGCTGGCGCTGGACCGAAACTATCGTCAGTGCCTACCATTCTCGTATCGATGTAGCCAACCGTATAAACAGTATCCAGAGCCAATTGCAGGCTGCACAACACCCGCGAAACACGGTTCAACTCAAAGCCATGACCGAAGTGCTTCGGCGCCTTGATTACATCGACAAAGACGACGTTATTACCTACAAAGGAAGAGCCTGCTGTGATCTGTCCGCAGTGGACACCCTCATCATGGGTGAACTGCTCTTTAACTTCAAGGACATGGTCGGCCTCTCCTCCGACTACCTCTGCGCCATGATGTCCTGTCTCGTGCATGAAGAACCAGTCAAGACTGTGACGCATCTGGACGACCCAAAACTGCAAACCGTCTACGACGAGGTACTCGCCACCGCACGGAAAATTGCGGAAACCTCCGTCAAGTGCGGCATCGATATCGACCCTCTCGCCTACGTCCAAAAATTCACACCAGCTCTCATGGTCCCCGCCCGAGACTGGGTCCGAAACCGGCCATTCGGCGAAATCATGAGAGAACATCCAGACCTCTACGAAGGCTCTGTCGTACGCTCCTTCAGACGATTGGAAGAAGCGCTTCGGGAGTGCGCAGCCTGCGCACACGCTATGGGCTCCGAAACCCTTGAAGAACTCTTCCTCGTCGCCATCAAAAACCACCGCAAAGGAATTGTCTTCCAAGCTTCACTCTATCTATAGATTTTCGCATTAACAATCACAACACTACATTAACGCTGACATACCTTACTTACACAGACAGACACTGCGTATGTCTATGCACACACGTGTGTGCAACGTGGTCGTTTGCGTGCTTATTACATCTAAAAAAATTCATATCGCCGATCAGCAGGCGGGCACGATCACAGAGCATGCGCTTGGTACCAAAAAATCATTTCTCATCCATTCCAGGTGACCTCCTCGGCGGTATTCCAGAAATGGCGGTATTCATTTGGTGTTCTTCAAAGCTACTTTTCTTCAAAGCTACTTTTCTTCGGGGTAGAGGCCATCAAGCAGGAGGTGTTTGAATTTTGTTTGGTTGTAATTACAGCCCAGCCACTTGGTGATTTTCTTGACGTCAGTTTCCGCGGTTCCAAGGCAGGTAGTTCCGCCGGGGGAGGGAGTGATGTTGAAGATAATGGGTGCGTCTTCAGGGTCGATTTTGCCTTCACCAAGAAGAAGCTTCTTTTGATTTTTATCGATTACTTGAGGGCGGACGCCACCGAAGCCTTGCGCGTAGGAGAGTTGGTCGACGGTGAGAGAGGGCACGATTTTGTTGATGGACTTGAGGAAGAGGCGCGTGTTAAGATGTGGTATTTCGAAGAGGAGGTTTTTGAAGAGGTAGTTTCTCATGGTCGAGTTTTTGAACATGCCCCAGTAAACTTGGAGCAGACCGGGTGAAACGCGTAGCGTTTTGAGGAAGTCGGGGAAGGTGTGCCATTGGTAACGTTCGAGCAGCGGTAGTGGCAGCGCAGTGGGCCCGAATCGCGTTTTTCCTCCGGCTACTAGATCTGGGTCGCCGTGAACGGCGGCGAAAGGTAACAACGGATTTTGGACGCAGTAAACCTTGCCCCGCAGCACTTTGGGCCCGAAATAGAAGGAACCAGCCACCGGCAGACACGACAGGTGGTGGCCGTAGCCCAGACGGTGCGCTGTTAACAATGAGTACCCGCAGGAGGACACCACCACGAAACGAGCTCGCACACGCCCCCGGTTTGTCTCCACAATCCACCCTTTGCCCTCACGCCGCATCTCTAACATCTCCGTACCCGCCATCGCCTTGCACACCCGACCGGTCTGCGCACCCAGATTCTCACCTCGTTTCACAAAGTTGTTCGTCACCTGGAAATAGTCAACCGCCGAATGCTCGTCTCCGATATAATTCGCAACCACACTTTCTTTGCGGAATTTGCGCAGCTCTGCATCCTCGAACGCGACAGCCGGCTCCACCTCACCCAATCTCTTCTTATCCAAAAGCTCCATCTTAGGAAAAACAGTCTTGAACTCCGCAAATCTAACACGGGCAACCGTCGGAAACAAACCAGGGGGCAATCCAGGGGGCAATCCAGGGGGCAATCCAGGGGGGAATCCAGGGGGCAATCCAGGGGGCGAATCCAGGGGGGAAGTCCAGGGGGCAATCCAGGGGGCGAATCCAGGGGGGAAGT